TCAAGTTCTCCTCCAGTCCTGAGCACGGTTCCTCCTAACAATCAACAAAAGACATGATCTGGAACTTCCCTCCAAGTAGAGGCACAGCCACTGGAAATGCCTTTAATGATGTTGAAACATTCACTCATTTGTTTTCATTGAGCAGAAAGTGCTGAATGACTACACTGGGCCACCATGTACTAGGAACTCACCGGCTTAGCAGTAAAGGTAGTAGACTCTGCTGCTCTCAGTAAAACCACCTACTCAGTACAAGGGGCCTTTGCCTCATGGTCAGAGGAGGCACAGATGGGAGACATCTGGATTCCTTCTTTTGCTCACCTCAAGGCAAGGGATAATTTGACTATTTAAGAGAAATGCCTCATTTTAATTCTTTACTATAAAAGTAACATATGCTTTTTCATAAAGGATAATCAAAACAATCAAGTGTATAAAATGGAAAGTGAAAGCATCCTTGCATGGTTAAAATTTGATATGTAAAGTTTTAGATTTTTACTACATACATATATATTTACATGTGATTTTTAAATGATTCGTGCTGTAGATATTACTCTATAACCTGCATCTTCTCCCTATTTGACAATATTTCACATCAGTTCATAGAATACTGCCACTAGCAGCTTTGCAGCATTTTATTGTTAGGTTGTGGTATAATTTATTTAATGAGCCCCCATTGGTAGACACTTGGATGGTCTTTCAAAGGGAGAATGGATGTTCACAAGCAGGACAGAAAGGAACAAGAGACAGCTGTGCCTGAGTTATTGGTATGTGAATGGGCTGAGTTGGACAGCAGTTCAATATCGGTCAAGTGTAATGCTGCAAGGTGCAAATGGGAATGATTCTGACCCAGGAAAGCCTGAATAGACTCTGGGGAGTCTGGTTGTTTTTTCTGAAGGTGAGCATGTTGAAGGATAGGAGCAGTAAGAGTCCAATGGAAGGTTGAAATTGTCAGATTTGGATTTTTCCGATTACTAGGATAGCTATAGGTAGGTGACATTAGGAAAAACTGAAAACAGCTTGCTAGAGAACTAACTACACCACCAGTCTGTGCCAGAGAGGATGGATGGAGCTGTGCCTTGCCAGGCCAAGGTCATGGGCAAGGAAAGGCATGGGCAAAAGGGTGGAATCGGGCATCTGGCCTAGGAGCCTGGCTGGGTAGCACTGCAGTACCCAAGATGGTACACAGAAGAGAGGAAGGGAGCTCTAGGGAGGAGCTGAGGAAGTCGATTTTGCACTCTCTTTTGTTTTGCCTTCCTCCTTTGACCTCTGATTAAAGGATGAAGCGATCCTCACTGACACTTCCAACACCCCCCATTTGCCCCTGACAGACCCCAATTGTAATGATTTGACCAGCACCCCAGGAATACTCAGGGCAAGTTCAGCTTTAGATGTATGACAGTGGGTTATTTAAGCCTTACATTTTCTTCCCTCGCTTTTATTTAAAGGACAAAATGCTATCACCAGCTATTAGATGCACATAGACTTGCAGTTTCAAGGTTTGAAGTGCTGACAGGTCAAGACAAAAGCTTCTCCATGTTGAGAGATGAGGGAGGTCTTCAGAAGTCTTGGCCTAGGTGGTCACAAGGACATCAGGAGCCCAGGACCACTTGGCTAGTTTGAGACCAGTGAGGGCAGGCAGGAAGGAATGCTGTCATATTTGCTCAGTTACAATAGCGACTCCTTCTTTGTGTAAAATGGTAATGAGGCCATTAGGAGAGGCTCACCTGAAGTGCAGCTTGTGAATCCAAGGTAATTAAACACCTCCTGAATGAAAGAGAAAGGCCAGGGAAGGTTAAGTGAGGAATAATCTGCTGCACAGGTGGCCCAAGGCCTTTGAGGAGCCAGAAGAAGAGCGACAGTGGCCTGCATCATTTCAAAGGATGGAAATGTCACCCTAGTCCCTGAGACAGGCAGGATTTTCATTATTGGGGGGGGTGAGGAATGAGTAGTATTTTTAACACTTTAGTATGTTTCTTAAGGTCCACAACAGAGTCTGCCCCTGAGGGGCTCTCACCACAGTGGCACTAGGCTCAGGGGTCCCAGGAAAAGGAGGTGACAGCAAACCAGTTACATATACCCAGGCTTTGAAATAAACTACAAGATGCTCTCAGAGGAATAGTTTTCCCTGCTCACCTTCATGCAGAGATGTGGTAGCCACCCCTTGGTGCATGATGCTTCCTTCGCTCCTGATTTCCACTCAGTTGGCAGTTTGGGCACATGGCACGCCCAGCTGCCAACAGCAGTGGAGTTTCCCTATACTTGGCTAACTTTTATTAGTACTTTCTGTGAGTTAAGTGTTGTGTTGTGTGTCTTCACTGCATAAAATCTGGTAATGGGGGATTTTTGCTATTCAGGTTCTTGCCTCAAAGTCTCTGCTGTTTCCGCACAAAAAGTGTGTATGTGATCCTCATAGCAGCAATACTAATAATCACCAAAAAGTGGAAACAGCCCAAATGTTCATCACGTGGTGAGCAAAGAAATAAGATGTGGTATACCCATGCAATGGGATATTGATCAGCCATAAAAAGGAATGAAGTATTAAGCATGCTACAACATAGATGCAAGTTTTCCATAATGAATACTATGCCAAGTAAAAGAATCCCGTCATAAAAGACTACCTATTTTAGGATTCCATTTATATTAATTGTCCACTGTTGGCAAGTCTCTAGAGACAGAGTGGATTTATCGTTGCTGGGGATGAGATGGGGATAGAATTGGTGAGAAATTGGAAGCAGCAGCTAATGAGTATGGAGTTTCTTTGGGGGAAAATGAAAATGTTCTGGAGTTAGACGGTAGTGCTGATTTTCTGGTCTTATGATTATACTAAAAGCCACTGAACTTTTATAAATTAACTTTAAATTAATTTTATAATATAAGAAATACATGGAGCTATTTTTAAATTTCCTTGTGGTTACTTGGCAATAAGAAATAACTTCTGCCAGATGTGGGAGTACACACCTGTAATCCCAGCAGTTGGGAGGCTGAGGCAGGAAAGATCACTGGGAGGTGAAGGCCAGCCTGAACTACATAGTGAGACTCCATCTCAAAAAAAAAAAGAAAAGAAAAAGAAATAACTTCCATGGATCGTTTTTAAAGTATACATAGTCTATCCCAGAACAGTGATTCTTAATATTTATAGGTTCATGGACACCTTTAGTACCCTGAGGAAAACTTTGAATCCTAAGCCCAGAAAACTGACCATCACTCATTCAAACTGCACATTTATAGGTGATTCATGAATCTCCTAAAACTCATTTTTTGTAATGTCTTTACATTTTATCCTATTTTAGATGTTCCTACACTAAGCCCCTTACAGAATTGGTTTCTCAGAAATGTGTTCTCATTGTGCCACCTGCATGCTAAAACACAATTACTAGCTTTCTGTTTCTCTCAAGATAAAGTAAGTGTCCCTTCTGATCCCACCTTTCTCTCTAGCCTCATCTTAAATCACCTTTCCTTTCTTTTCTCTCTACTGAAGACGCATTCTTTCCATTCTCTGAGCTCCTGACTACAGGGCCTTTGCACATTACTCCCCATGCTTATACTGTACCTATCCTTCTTTGCTTAGTTATCTACTTTAACTTGTTCTTTAACTCTCAGTTCAACACGTTTTTCCTCCAGAAAGCCTCCCTTACTCTCCGTGGTAAACAGACTTGTCCCAGAAACAATGCCGTGTGTATGGGTATTTTTCTGACTATACTGTCAGTGAATGAGGGCAAAGCCTGTATCTAGTTTCTCTTCCCATTGCATCCTCAACACCTAACATAGTCTCAGGAGTGTAGAAGATAATAAATATTTAGTGAGTGGATAAATGGCTCAGAGTCACCACATTGCACAATTCCAGGGAACCTTTACATGTAGAACACAGTATGAATGCTGTGCCCTGAAAGTTAGGCAGTATGACATCCTGAAATGAATAAAGGATATATTAGAAATAGTCTGGTAAGCTTGACTTTGTCCTGGATATTGAGGGTAACAGCCAGAGGATCAGACAATCTTTTCCTACCTAGACTCATGAAGAAAATCTCTTTAGATCTCATTTTCAGTAAAATCTTTATTCATTAGCGAATCCGATTTGTTTATAATACTTAGACCCAGGGAATCTCACAACTTTCATGTTTTCCTCTTCACTTTGGCCACTAGGAGGCTCTTAAGCCAATTTGAAGCCAATTTCTAACTACCGTGTAAGAGTTATTGCTTACTTTTAGATACCAAATCCAGTCTTAACTTCTTTTCCCATTGCCATCACTTTCTTGCCTGTTTTGTTTTTAATCTGTTCAGTTTTTGTAAATTGTCACTATTCCTTTAGAGTATGATGTGTGAAGTGTATAAATAAACATTTTATTTCTAACATTTGTAAGTAACTTAGAGAATGGAATTGGAACTAAAAGTCTTTGCTTAGTTTGGACTCAGATTATAAGACTTTGATTCACATCCCAATTTGGCTACTTCTTGGGTTTGTTCCTAGGCATAGAGCCTGATTTCTCAGAGATTGTTTTACTTTGCAGAACAGGACCAATACTCTCTTCCTCAAAGGACTGTTTGAAGAAAAATTAGAAAATTTATGTCAGGATACTTACCTGGCATGTAGTAACTGCTTAAGAAGAATTTTGTTTTTGCTTTTATTAGACATGTCTGATCAGAGCAACATTCATTTAAATTTCAAAAACCTGCCTTTCCGTCTGGGAGTATAGCTCCATGGTAGAGCAATTGCCTAGCATCCCAGCACTCCAAAGCAGGGAAAAAAAAAATCACCAGGGGCCAGGGGTTTAGCTCAGTGGTGCCACTTGCAAGGTCCTAAGTTTGATCCCTGGTACCCCCCCCCACAAAAAAATCACCTGTCCTAATACCAAAGGTGTTTTTGTTCTCCTACAGCTGTAGAATCAAACTGACCACCCTCTACCCCAGCAAAGGAGTTTTCTAAGGGTGTATAGGTACTGGGCTTAGATACCATCATTCTGTAGTCAGCCATCAACCTGTGTCTCCTTCCTTTCTTTCACCAGATCTCTTCACTGAAGAACAGGCTGAAAAAAGTCTCCACAACCACAGGCGATGGCGTGGCCAGAGCCTTCCTCAAGGCCCAAGCTGCTTTCTTTGGTAGCTACCGAAATGCTCTAAAAATTGAACCGGTGAGTAGCATATTGGCATGTGACATGATTCATGTTTGGTCAGGGCTTGGAATCCTGCCTCAGAGCACATGAGAAATTGCGATTCTTCTGTGTTTTGAACTCTCCTAAAGGAGGTTGTGTGTGAATTTGGTGAGGGTCGGTATGAGGGATTCCTCCCCTTGCCACACCTCTTGGCACAAGGAAGTCATGCTCTTTCTTGTGCATGAGACACTCACAACTCCAGCAGTAAGCACAGGAAGACACCCCACCCAACAATAAGCACAAACTACATGCTAGAGATAGCACCAGGCCTGTCATGCTTGCTGTCACTGAGGACTCAGAGTGGAAGGAAATCAAGACTCAGAGAAGAAAAACTACTTACCGGCAGTCCCAAAGCCCATGCTTTTGCCCTGTTCTTCACTATCCCTTGTCCTCTGAAGGGACCACTCTTCTACACGTGAGACAGCAATGCATCCTGGGAATTTACTTCTTGGTGGCTCCTGCATGTGGTCATGGTTTAAATGACCACAAAGCATCATGGGGAACAGTAGATGATGCGACCCACCTGTGTGTCCCTTTCACCTTTCCAAGTTCAGCTGACTTACACATGACCCTTGCCTGCTATGTGAAGTTAGTTATTGGAGGATGTAAAGGCATCAAGGCTTCCCTGAAGCTGAGGACACTTTTGTTTTTCCAACTTCCACGAGAAGCTTTCTTCTGATAGCCCACCTCTTGGCCTCCTTTGGTCTCCTGGCCAAGGAGAAGATACTCCCATCCTAAGTGGAGTGGGGTACAGTGGACCAGCTTAGGTCACACTGCCTACATGACAGGGCTGTTAGTTTCTGATTTTATTTTAGCTCATAGCATTTAACTAGATCAAATGCCAAAAGCTGAGTGGATGTCAGTTAGTGCATTTCATATAAGACTTTTGAGAATGAACCAGATCACACTTCCTCATAAGCCAGTTATGCACTGCTATCTTTTTACTGCCTTAATTCCTTCATGTGTCTAAGTGAAACACAGATAGTTAGCAAGTACCTTGTCTTCCTTACACCCAGAAGTGGCCAGAGTGGCAGGGCTCAAGGAGCAGCATCCTAACACACCCTCCTCTCCTCATTGTCTTTTTGGCACTGAAGCCTTACTTCCTTGGCTGCCTATGCTTTGGGCTGTGTTATGGTCACACAACAAAAGGGATACAAATTCTTTCTGTCCCCTGAGAAATACTTGCTTTATCAAACTCTAAAGTAGTTTCCTTGTCCTGCTTGTTTCAAAGTGAAGTAGCTCCAATTGCTTGTCATGATCTTGGACCCAGCCAAGCCCACCAGGTTTGGTGCTTTCTGCTGGGAACTGACAGATTGGAAGCATTTTCACTCTGATAGTTTTCTCATTGTTGTTATGTATGTGTCTAGAATCCAGAGGCAGCTGATTCTTTGCACGTATTGCTGGATGTGATTTGGGCACACGTTGCTACGCAAGAGTCTATGGTTGTACTTGGCATTTGACTCTGAGAAGGCCTGAAATTAAGGACAAAAGACCAAGAGTTTAAAGCCTACCTCTGCTTTTCTTAGATGTATAAAACCTGAGCAAGCCATTTACTCTGTTTAAATTTAGTTTCTTCACATGCAATTTAGCTTCTCACTGTTGTAAGAGTTAAATGAACCTAAAATGTTTCATAAGAAAGGTGAAACCTGAATGGTGTCTAATGAATAATGTTTGGAAAGGAAAAATAGAAGCTCCCCTCCTGTAGTGGATGTAGAGCTAACTGAACCAGCAGCAAAGGCTTGGGGGCAGCGCCTCAGGGCCTGTGGGTCAGCTGTTTTGTCTGGAGTGATGTATGGTTGGGGAATGGAGCTGCAGGAGAGGTTGGAGCCAGATTTGGAAGACCTTTAGATGCAAGGCTAAGAGTATGAATTTTATCTTATAAGGAATGTAGGTTTTTTAGCAGAGATAGGATGTGGTCAGTGTCAGGTCTAAGCAATAAGCTCGTGATAGACTGAAGAAAAAAAAAAAGGTGGAGGCAGAGAGACCATTTAGAGAAACGTTATGAGAACTCAGAAGAGAATCTTCAGGGGGTGACACCCGAAAGTGGTACCAAGAAGGAGGAAATGAGTAGACCCAATAATAGATAACATATGGTAGAGGAAGGGCAAAAAATGTCAAAATGTTCCCCAAGATTTGGAGCCTGGGAAAGAATGATATGCTCTTGAGAGCAAAAGAGAAAGGTTAATGTCATGATATTCACAGTAGCAATATTTGTAATGTTGAAAAAATTGGAACAGACTGAGAGTTTATGATAGCTATCTGATGAGGTAACTTAAAGTACATCTATATAATAGAGTAATACATTGCCTTTGAAAGCATCATTTTGAAGATAAAGTCATGGCTTTGGTTGTAGATGTGAACTTTTTCTTGAATCTAAACTACCACTCAATTGCAAGACAGACCATTGTTGTAGATAACATTAAGAAAGGGAAGAGAGTGCTGCCGGTTATAATTGAAAGATATCATCAATTATGAGACACATCGAGATTTCAGAGATGTTACAGTGAGAAAAAAATTCTCATCTTAGAATCAGTGAAATATTGCAGCTCTATCATGTATTCAGTCCCATCCATCTGCACCACAATCACTTTCTTCTGAGTCCAAGAGAGAAACCACAAGTCCTGAAATTTTTTCCAACCAGGCATTGAGTCATTGGTCATCACTGTGTTACCTAAATGGTTTTTAAGCCATAAATTTAATTCTGGCAAATTCTCTTCTGAAAAATGGGATAATAACATTCCCTGTACATAATCCTGTTGGGGATTTCAGTGAGCTTGAGAAGAGAAGAGGGAGCCCTGCCGGTACAGCCTGGGCCCTGGAGAAGGGCGCCCTCTGCAGTCAGCATTGTGCTGAGGGGCAGGGAAAACTCCCCAGGGCCACTTGTCTTTCAGTTGTTTTTCTCTGGTTATTAAAATAGCACCTGCTCTTAGTAGAAACGTTTAAAGTAACTGAGGAACAGAAATAAGAGACACCAAAATCCCATCTCCTGTTAAAATCCCTCATTCATGCTTCCAACCCCCAACCCCACACACACACACCAGCTCCAGGGTCTTTGGTTTGCTTTTGGTTCATTTTCTTTGGGGACTTTATTTTTTTAATTTTCTTTTCAGCAGTTGAGATATCCCTGACAAAGTAATCTAGTAGGTCCAGTATCCCATTTGTTTGTTTTTACCTTTTAATTTGTGTAAGCATTTTTCACATTATATAAAGTCTCTTCTTAAACATCATTGATAAGGGCTGTACACGTTCCAGAAGGTGACCCTGTGACTCACAGCCCAACTATGGAACACAGTCACGGGAAGGGTGGGGGACAGGGATAGTCTCTTCAAAGGGTTCATGTGATTTTTAACAGTTCTTATGATCTGAAATTGGTGTTGAGACCCCACCACATTATCCTAATGCCAGTCTTTTTGTTATAGCATTTCACAATTTTAAACCACACTGTGATGAACATCTTTATATAAATCTTAGTATGTGGTCTAAATGATTTTTTAGGCAGATTTCCTGCTGTAGATTTACTAGGTCAAGGGATCCAAGTACTTTTACAGCGTGTGGCACTGAAAGTAATGGAGAAGCAGGTGGTGGTGTGCAGGGCAGAGCCCCAGAGGCACGTGCAGCCCCAGGCCAAGAACAGCTTGAGGCTGAGGGAAAAGACAGCCTCTCAGGCTTCCCTGTCCTCATTGCTTTGTGATGTGTCCAGGGTGTCTGCCATGCAGATTTGGTGTGGTGGCTTCCCACCCTGGGCCCGCAGTACAGCTATGGCACTTGGGATTGCAGGGTCAAAAGGTAGTGTGATATTTTAAAACATGGAACCTGGGCCAGGGATTTAGCTCAGTGGTTCCTCTGCCTGCCTTACAAGCACAAGGTCCCAAGTTTGATTCCCTGGTACCAAAAATAAAAATAAAACATGGAACCTGACAGACTTGAGGTGCTGTTTTCTGCTCTGCTGCCAGATGTGGCTTTGAGAAGGTCCCTCTGCTCCTCTGAGCCTTAGTTTCCTTTCCATACATGGAAATATAATCCTCTGCCTGAAGGATCATAGTGAAGTTTAAACAAGCCCAGCACAGTACCCATTAGCCCTGTCATGGTTAACCTGTTCCTGTCCCTCACCCCTGGCCTTGTCTCTGCTGAGGAGGTCCCTGCCAGCTGTGAGCAGCTTGAGGGTCAACTCCCTCTGGGCAGCTCAGTTCCACCTATCTCTCTGTAAGGAGAGGTTGAGCCTTCGCCAGCTGGGCAGATGAGCAACTCCTCTGCCTTTGGATAGGAAAGCCTTTCCCTTGCTCAGATCTCTCTTGAGATTTTTAACTCTGTGGCCATTTGTTGTTGTTTTGTTTTGTTTTTCTGTTTGTTTGTTTGTTTTGTTGTTTCTCTCTCCTACTGGGAAAATTTTATAACACATCTGGCTGGGAAGACTCTTGTGAATTGTGCTTATCCACTGCCTAGAAGAGGGAAGGGTGCTTGCACAGCCTAGCTCATGTCAAGAGTGGCCTGGCCCAGCTCAGGGGGTGATGTGTCTCTTCATTGCCAGGTAAATTGTTTTAAAGGGGTCTTCCAGGGGTTAGAAACTAAGATGAGGAGATGACAAGCATGTCCACCATAGCCAAGTCTACCACCTCCTGAGTGGCCTCCCACAAGATTGGGCTTGGTTCATCTTGGAGTTGCTTAATGTCTTTGATCTCAGTAATTCCCCATGACTGCCTCTGACTGTGCATCTTACAGATGGAGAATGGAGGCTCAGATTGGCAGTGACTTCCTGGTACAGGGTAGAGCTAGGCAGCAGACTCGGGTTAGCCTGACTCCCAGACCCAAGTTCCTTCCCCGACACCCTCCTGCCTGTCTTGCTTGTAATTCCCACATGTTCCATATTAATAATTCTTTCTCTCAGCATTTCTAGCACCAGGCACAGATCATAGCGCAATGTATAGGCATCAGTGAGTATAGTTTGGAATAACTGATGGAAGAATAAGAGAAAGAAATTA